CAGGTAAATTGAGGGACACATAAGACATTTTCTAATGTGACATCATTAGGAAGCTCTACTTTTCCTATGTGTGATACATCAAGAGATGATCCATTTGGAATTTTTTACAGGTGAGCAGTAATGGGCTTTTCTCAATGAAATTTGTAATATGGGGTGTCATATGGTCTGAAGCTCCACTATCTATGATCCAAGAGAAAGATTTTATTGGCTTCTTACTAGCAAGGTTGGCTATATGGGAGAGAGTTAAGTTACCACTGAGAAGTGAGAAAAGTTGCTCATACTGCTCCTTTGTCAATCCTGCAATTGGTGATTGGTCTAATGAACCTTCATTTTGTGATTCTTGGGAAGCATTTCCTACAAAGACTAGATTTCTATCTCGAGCCTGATTCCTTTGTTGCTCATTCTTCCCTTTGGATTTTATGCTTCCAAGCTTCCAACTGGTTGGGTAGCCTATTATCTCAAAACATTTATCCTTTGTAAGAACAACCTTTTTGCAATGATCACACCGTGGCTTCCCTGATGCATTGGTGCGCATGTTGGAATGACTCTTAGCTGCTAAGGTTGTAGCCTCAATCATTGGAGATCTTGCAGAGGCCACTGCCTATTGTCTTTCCTCCTTGGTTGCCATGGCATAAACTTTGTTCAAGGATGGCAATGGCTCCATGTTTAGAATCTATGATCTCATGGTGGAAAAATTGTCATTCAGTCCCATTAAAAATTGGTGAACCTTCTCTACTTCTTTGGATTTAGTGAAATCTTTGGCTGCACCACAGGTACATCCGCACGAACATGTGGGGATTGGATCATAGGCTTGCAATTCGTCCCAAATTGGCTTCATTTTGGTATAGTATGCAGCCACTGACCTTGTTTGTTGAGTGAGATTTGCTAATTCCAACTTTAATTCATGTACTCGTGTTGCATTCCCTTGAGAGAACCGTTCCTTGAGATTGTCCCATATCTCCTTGGCACTATCAGCATACGCTGCACTATCATATAGTTCCTTGATGAGGGTGTTCAAAATCCAAGAGACCACCATCGAGTTGCATTTGGTCCAAGCAAGCATCTCGAGTGATTTTGCATCTGGTTTCTTTAGAGTTCCATCCACAAAGCCCATCTTGTTTTTGGAGTAAAGGGCATTTTGCATTGCCTTCCTCCAAGTGTGGTAGTTCTCTCCATTCAATGGAGTGGTGACAAGGATTCTTCCAGGATCATCGCTGGGATGAAGATAGTATGGAGAATCTAGATGAATTCCTGTCCTTGCTTCTACTGTCATAGCTCCCCCTGCCGGTTTGGTTTCGGTATTAGGAGTCTCAGCCATTTCGTTAATGATAGATGCAGCAAAGGCTTGTTGTCACGCTGTTGATGAATGTAGCAAAGACTTGCTGTCAAATAGTTTGGTTGCAGCAAACTCTTGTTGTCAAATTAGCCTTAGGTGTTTAGAAACCTTGCTCTGATACCATGATGAAAATCCTGCATGTGGGCTCAACACAAGGCTTGCATCCAACCTAAAACCAATTGGCAATAGGTGGAGTAGCCCTCCTTGTATTTAACCCACAAGTTTCTTATTTTTATACTCGATGTGGGATTTTCCCACTTAACACGCTCCTTCACGTGCAAGCCCGCTATGAATGTCGGGTCCTGTCACGTGGGTTAATATGCCCCCTTAAATGCAGGCCCGGTATCAACTTCGGGTCCTGTCAGGTGGGCTAACAATGAGCTTCTCAAGGTAGAACCTGAGCTCTGATACCATGAAAAATTTGATAATGGAAGACACAAGAATGATTGAGAATTTCTGTATGTATCTCATTCATACTAAGAAAGCAGTTATATACAAGTTTGTATGACTTAATCTAAGGTGTACAGAAATGAAATGTAGAATGATTCTAACCTATAATACATTAATATGAAAGATATTACAGTTTTATTTTCAAATTGTTCCCTGATCTTCTCTGCAGCATTTCCGCCTTGATAAACTCTTCACCACTTATGCCTCAATCATCTCTATACCATCTCTTTATTTGGAGTTGGAAGTCCCATCTATAATGAAAACGAAAGACAAATTATTGAAGACCCCACTGCCTGCAATTATTGACCCTGAAATGCCAAAAAGAGAAGATATGCAATCACTCCCCTTTCGGTTTTTTCTATCTAATTTCATGAAGTTTTTTCCTTGGTCAAATTTTTTAATTACATACCTATGAAATTTTCTTCCTTTTTCTACGAGGGTCCCGTTTGCATTCATTTCCAGTTCCGGTTCCCCAAGCAGCATCTTTTGTGTTTTTGTTGATGTTTGTCTTCAAATTAATATTTTTAAT